TACCCACGATAGGACCTACTTCTGTCACTCCAGCATCAAAACGTTTCCGCCGAGTAATCTAAACGGGTTGCACAGCAGTTAACGTCCCAGCAGCGTGCACCTCGGAGCCCAGCCACGCTCCTTGCCGCTATTCCCATTAGACTCAGCAGATGAGCCAACAACAGCCATATGTTCTTTAAACGTACGTGCAGCCTTGCAGCTGCCTCCCGCTCCCGTTCCAGGCTGGAGACTACACTGCTGCACCGTGTACGCGCTGGAAACCACGGCCGGAGGGCAACAACAGCGGCTCTGAAACAGAGCCGGCAGCCTTTTGGAGGGTGGTCAGATAAAGCACTCGTACGCATCATCTTCAACAGGTAGTAAGGCACAGGAGGAGATAAGCCCAGCTCCGGGGGATGCTGGCCTCTACAGACCATTAGCTTAGAGATTAATATCCCGGCTCATACTCAAACAAAAACAGATCCCAAGTGGTTCCCTCCTGGTCTGGAAAGTTACATCTACTTGCTCCAATTTTATTACCACTACTAGTGGTTGGGGTTGAGGGGGCTTCTTTTTTCTATTTCCTACATCCAAAAATGTTCGTTACTTATTATAAACCTAGATGATAAAGTTTTATTTTTTTTCCAAGAGCAACTTAGTTCTTACCATTTTTACAGCTGCTCATTTGCAGCATCCAAGGGATGATTCCTGTCACACTGAAGAACTTCAGTGCCAGGCTCTTCAGCCTTCAAGTATTCCAGCAAGTTTGACTTCAAAGTAGTAGAAAATGTGATTTTTCTGCAATGATGAAGTCTCCAAAGAGTTACAGAGTTCACATCCTTAAATTGTGTAAAGATCTATGGCTTTTGAAATCTAGCTGTTTTTCAAACTGCCCATTGGATCCAACTGAATCATGACAAGCTTGCATTCTCATGGACGAAAAATCGCTTTGAAAATCTGACCCAAGTGATAAATATGATTAATTAACAAAGACAGCAGTTGTAACATTCACATTTATACTTCAAATGCCCCCACCCTCTTCACTATTTCTGTTCAAATTCAGCACATACAGAAATCTACTTATGTACTTTTAAGAGAATCAGTTTTCATTCAAATACAAATAACACCCCTGCTTTAAAAGAAAATCCCCCCCGCAAACCTGTAATAGAATTACAAATTAAACTTTGGGAGAGAAAACTATGTTAATCTATCGAGCTGCTTAAATATACATCAGTGACACTTCAGCATATAAGTAAAATGGCATAGGTAAAGAATGAATCATTCCAAACTAACTTTCCTCTTCACGCCGGCTCCAAGTCGTGATTTTAAATCAGCAAAAACCTATAGCCTAAATAGCGATTAAGTCACTTTTACACGTTCTTGCTGGACAGCAGACACCATTTCTAAAATTATTCTTGCTAAAAATGAATGTCAAAGTTCTAATGGCTAGGGCATCCTCCACATTCAACTGACCCTCAGTCGTTTTGGTGTGGGCACCTCTTTCAGCCTCCAGCAGAGCCCAGAGGCACACACGATGCATCTGTCACAGTCAGCATTGATACTCAAAGCAGAGTTTGGTGCAAGAACCTTTCTCCCATCTCCACTGCTCCCATTAACGTTCTCAGTCCTTTCTGGATTTCAGCATATTCAGGTAAATCTTGGAACATATTTGTGTATTCTTCCAGAAGACTTCAAGAGTTTGATACATGTTTAACCAGCCCAACTGTGTAAATAAGTGCTTTATCTCTATGGCAGATCTAAGAATCTGTATGTCCTCCCTCATCATTAGAAACACAGTCTTTTTTTAAACCATAACTATGCCTTGCATAATTAGCCAAGATTGAAGAAGATCAAGGACTGAAGAATCAATTATTTCTCTCTATTTTGTGTTGTTAAAGACAACAAGTTCAGGTCAGACAATCATCCAAATTAACAATTTTGTTTTCTGAATACAAGCCTTTGGGAAGTGAAGTGGTAACAATGAACCACCAAGGTGTTGCAATCAGCAGAGAGGCAAAACACATGCATACCTTTTATTCTGAGTGAACAGAATTACCTAAGATGGGTCATCATCTCAAATAATGAAAGCCAGCAGAAAGGTACCAAAAGGTCAGTTAGAAAAACAAAAAACACAGGATAAATGACATAGGTTGTAGGCAAACGTCTTGTGAATAAGCCACAAAGATTGGACACCACTGACTTTCAACACTGAAATGTGAGCCAGTAGGTTCCCAAGACTTAGTCCTTGATCACGTAATATACCTGCAACACTTGGTGACAAGATCTGCAAACGGTCACGTACAAAATCTGCTTGAGATTAAAAAATAATATTCATTTTCAAATGGTAGTGCTCAGCAGGACCTGATCAACAACATGGAAAGCTAGCACAAATGCATTAGTTTCAAGTTTTATTTCTCATGTTGGTGAAACACATAGCCTCTTCTCAAGAAGCAGCATCTGTAGAGCTGTTACAAACACATTTTGTACTGTAATACACCACAGATTTGGAAAAAGAACAAATAAAGCACAGGTTTCACACTGCACTTGGGCATACTGAGTCTTAAGTTACAGATAATTTAGACATCTTCTGATTTTACATATACATTGCATTGGCCATCACTCAGCCTTCATGCACAATTTAATTTTATTTTTCTTACAGTCAACGCTGGGTTTGGAAACTTTCTTGCTGTAAATGGTATCTTTTCCACTTTAAATCACTTAAATGATATTTACATAGTGTGCAAACTGCTTTGACAGATAGAAACAAACACTAACACATAATATACAGACAGCTTCTTCTATAGTTAAACATTTACTAAAAGGCAGTTAACATTCCTATCACACTTTCATTGCCTAAAATAGGAGAATAAGTTATATAAAATAGACCATCTTATTTTGAGACACTTCATTTCTGCAGATTTGGTCTTTGCAGCAACATTGCAATCAAAGATTAAGATTCTACTCCTAAGATTCAGAGAAGCCCCTTTCAATTCAATGGCAGCTTAACATCCTTAGTACAAGTTACTTTTTGTTTTTCCATACTTGGCACGGGGAAAAGAGAAAAAAGCTGGGGAAGTGGGAAGACAGTCTTGCACATCTATTTTTTTTGGCAATATGAAAAGTATGCTTTAAGAATCTAATGCATAAATTTTAATTTTTCTTTTAAGGGCCTGTTAGTGTTACAAGCACAGTTTAAATAAAGTCTGCAAGTTCTTTCACAGAAGCACACAAGGCTCTCATTTTTCTTCTTATGCATGTCATCTTCTCGGATATATACAGTTGTTCACACACACAAAAAAAGTAGACTCCTTGGGACCATTCAACAAAACTTGGTTCAGAATTGGAAGCAGCAGGAAAAGCTTGAAGAAAATTACTTAGTGTTCCCAGTGCTCCTACATGTGTGCTTTTTTTCCTACTTGTGATAAAGACTCCCCATAAAAAGTGCATGGTCACCTTCATGAACAAATCCAGAAGGCAGAAGTTGAGTAAACTGGATTGAGTTGCTCCAATGGTGAAAAAAAAAGAGTTACAGGAAAGTCTTCAAAACCGTCTTTTATGTATACTTGTAATCAGAGAAAAGCAACTCAATTCCCCAAATTTCATTTAGACTATTTATAGAAGAGCAAAAACTTCTATATACATCATTAATAACAAAGGGAAATTACCTGTCAGACAGTAAAGAACTACAGGTGTAGTCTCAAATAGCTTTAAAACCCAAGCTGATTATTACATAATATAAAGAGACAAAACTGCTTTTTGAATACCCATTAAATTGAATAATGTGACTTTTACAGCAGCCCTGCCTGCAAATCATGCTGTATCATTTGCTCCCATCACAATGCTATTGAGTACTATCCACCTCAAGGGAAGTGAGTATTAACCCTCTAAAAGTTTACCTTCACCATAATTATGTCCGACGTCAGTGTGTGTCAGACACATGCTTGATATTTTTGAAGACATCCAATTCCTTAATATGGCAGAAACTGCACCAACACTTGACATTGTGCTTTTGGTCTATTGTTTATTCAACTTTGGGCATCACTTATCACACACAAATCCCTGCTGGATTCCAAATGATCTCACCCTAGTGCAGATCTTGATTAGGTTCTTCTGAAGAAACAGACCACGGGTACAACTTCCAGTGTTGTCAACTTTTAAGCTAAAATGGTCAAACAAATTTAAGACACTACAGAAGCTTGCAAAACACATGACGATCTGAAACCAAATGAAAATAGAGAAGATGCATTCAAGTTTGGTTACTTTGGATTCTGAGCTAGTTTGAAAAATGCCATTTGTAAGAGATAGCTGTTCTATGCTTTGAAAATACAAAAGAATTAAGTGTCTTCATAGACTAGCGTATTGATTAGCAAATAAACACCTGGAACACTCATGAACTCAAACACCACTGAAACATTCCACCTAAGTTTTTGTTAAACATTATCTTCAGAGCTTTATAGTCAATGCACACTATCTGCTACCTTCAGTTTCTTTTTTGGTTACAGCATACTTCAGAAAACACCGCTAAGAAAGATTGTCCACTCCTTCCATTCCCAAGGTGTACATTACAAACACTATGCACACATTTATTTCCAAAGATTTCACATCAATGAAGTTCTTAAGATGAAAGGGGTGTGTGTGTACTTTTAAGTTTGCAAGGTAGCTTCAAACTAGTTGGCTTAGTATTTTCCACATCCACATGGATACTGCTTGCTAAGAATAAGATATTAAAATAATATTCTGCGGTGGAGTAAAAACGTTGAAAATAAACTTAGTGCTCCCCCTACTGCTTATACTAGTGAAAAATCCTGCCTTGCATAGCCTGCCTTAAATGGTGTTAAACAGGAGATAAATAGCCAGATGAATGATCGTATATTTAACTCAGAAAACAAATCACAAACATATTACTGGGACCAAAAAGTGTCAGCTGTTGAAATTCAGCATTTAAAATTTTGTACCTCTCCTTACTCCAGTGCTTCTGGGGTTTTGGTTTCTTTTAAACTGTGCTTTTAGTAAAAATTTTTCCCGTCAACTGAAGGCAGGGCCCTGACAAAGCTCCTACCAGGTAAGAAATGAAGTCCAAAGATGTTTCAAGATGATAGGTACAATAATGCTTTTTCTCCTATATTGTATCCAGAAGTTGCCAAGTTAATATCAGGATTCCCATATCACAACTGCAATGAAACTCTGGTAAATCTGGTACCTTTGGATATGCTCAACATCACAAATAAGTCAGATATTTAAGACAACTTATGTCTGTAGCTAGCATAGTCCACCAGAATATTCATCCTCTTCCTCATCAGCATGAGAGCCCACTGCGGTTGGTCCTCTTGCTTTGTCTTGTGCAGCATTTGGCGATTTCTTCTTGATTCCACCTCCGGGGACCACCAAGGTAAGACCAAGCTTGGCATACTGACAACAACAAGGCAAGTTTAATTTCTGTACTATCACAGAAGTAAAATCTTCTTGAATTACTCTGCACAGAATTGACTGACGCTCAAAATTAACGAACAGGTGACATTCAGTACAGAAAACTGATGCTGCTTTCGGAGTATATTTTTCCAGCTCAGAATAAGCCTAACATTAGCTCATTTTTTCCTATCTCAAACACTCTGAGAATGGGATGTGAGATCTGTATCGATACTGCTTATTACAGAATAATTTGGCCATATCCTACAGCTTCTGTGGTTCAAGCCTTATGTAAAAAAAAAAAAAAAAAAAATTTCAGTATGCAGCTCTGGATACGTTATCTAGTATTAGTTCATGTAAAAAGTCTTAGAAGTGGTTTTCAGCAAGACTAGCACCTTAATTTTTACTATTCAACATAGTAATAAGTAAAATTAGTCAATACTGTTACAAAGTTTGGCATGGATGGATGCCTCCTTTACTTCACACCTTTCCTATCCTTATACTTCCTACCATTTACAAGTACAACTGAAAAAAAAAAAAAGGGGACACACCTACTTTCTCAAAATAGCAAAAAAAAAAAAAAAAAATCTTTCACTAACTAGTACCTTGCTAAGGAATAAGTGCTGAAAAAAACATTCAACAATGCCATCCTGTAGGCATCATATTCTGCAATGCTTATGCATGCATATCAGCTATATGGTATTTCTGAGATAAAGCATAAGCAGCAAACTCTTCTGGCCCCTAAGGAACGAAGCAGAAAGGAACTTAATTTTAGTCAACTCGTCAAACAAACTCAGCAAATCCATAACAAACTGTTCATTCACCTAAGCTTTCCCACTATCTGAAAGGCCCAACAATATGGGACTTAACATTGGCAGGCAGCAAAGTAAAGGAGCACATAAAGTTCACAAGCACAGGGTAGAATGACAGAGCAATTCGCAATAAATACATGGACCCTGCTCTTCTTATTTTCCTCTACTAGCAAAATCTCTCTCTCTACCTGAACAAGCAAAAGGATTATAAAAAAAAAAAAATATCCATAGGAACTGTCCACTTACATCATTGTCCATGTATTTGAAGAGTGGCAAATTACAGACTTCAGAAACTTGATCCTGATCTTGCTGGTCATACCCTTCTAAAAGTTGCTCTAGTGCTGCACAGTCTTCACTTCCATTAAATCCTGGTATACTGACGGAAAGTAAGAGTTCATTTTGGGCATTTCAGCAATCGACACTCAGCTATTCTATCTTTAAATGCTGCTGATTAATAGCAGAAAAGCAAAAGCTTTTAAGAATCTGATGGACTGCTTATTTCACAAAACTGTTTATGATCACTTTGATTTCTCCAGGTACATGGATCATATCCCTAAAATTCAACTTTCAACAATATTACTTTGCATGCTGAGAATAAGACCACAATCAGAGTCAAGATGAAAAGAGAATATTAGAATTTTTCAATTTTTCCTGACTAGCCAATAAACTCTTCCTCCACTTTACATACAGAAAAATTCTGTAATGAGTTTCTATATAAAATACAAATTGAAGACTTGGAAAATATGAGCAAGATGTTTAAAGACTGATCTAAAAAAATTCTTTCTAAAAATAAAGTAACAATTTAACTTAGACATATGTTCAAGTCATTTCACTAAAAACACAGTTTAAGTAAAAAAATGTTGTTTCAGTATTTTGTTACTGAAGTCCTAATGAAAGCTGAAATGGAGAGTTGCTGGGAAAGCCTCTGGAAACAGGGTTAAAGACTAATCCAGATTTTAACACCAGAATTTTCTCCTGGATGTGTAAAGAATGCCTTCTTCATTTTAATGTATTCAACTGGACTACTTTCTGCTTTCTAAATTATCTTTCAGTTCAATCAACTATTTAAAAAAAAAAGTCACAAAAAGTACAAATTTTGCTTTTCTTCTTCCAATGCATGACAAGGGCAAGATCTCCTAGGTAGACATAATCAGAAATGTAGTAATTCACATGCTGCAAATTTTTCTTTAACAAAAACATTGAGATTAATCTTTCCCTCAATCGAGTCACAATACCAGACAGTTTAGTTGATTATACTGGAATGCTGCTATTGAGCATTTTGAGACTGCACTCCATATTTCCATCCTTAAACAGTAATAAAATATGGTAATGACAAGTTAGAATTTCAACTTTTAAGGGCCTCCACAGATGACATGGCAAAAGGATTCTGAAAAAATTAAAATTTAGTTAGCAACATCCAGAAATACCCACTTTTAATCCTCAACATTTGTTTACAGTAGCTAATCCATCTCTGTTCCATTTGAAAAAAAGACACAACCCAAAGGATATCAATAAGGCAAGAATCCCAGCCATAACAGTATTCCGCTCAGTTTTTAACAAGGACAAAAATGGGAAGACTTTCTAATTTCCATCTCATTTCACCTGTCGCACTTAACTACTTCTTTATGACTAACTTTTTATTTCAGGTTCATTAAGAAGAATCACCATGGTAATTACAGCTAAATCTGTTAAGAGCGAAAAAAATTTCTGATAGCCACCTACCAGGGAATGCTATTATTGTACTGTAAGTCAACAGAAGTACAGGCTTAAAATTTCTTGACAGACAGCGTTTCCATTGCTCTTTCATAAGAATAGATCTACATTAATGAAACATTCAGTTTTAAAAGTATAGGACATGAAGTAGACTTACCTATAGCTTTCCCTCACACATCTTTCTGCAGCAACATAATCATTTCTGTGAAGATGAACTAAGACTTGAGCAATAGTTTTCTAAACAGAAACAAAAAAAAAACAACCCGATGATTCTTTAAAAATGAACAGTAAAATATGAAAAAAATACTGGACTGCTAATATTTAGTGTGAAAAAGGTCATTACGATCTGCAATGATTCTAAGGTACTGACACAAGAGAGTCAGAACAACATAGTAAAACAGTAGTAAACCATATCCTCAGCTGGTATGAAATAGATTATCTCTTATAACATTGTAATGAACTGTTGCATCAAGCAACAGTTTTTGTGGTTTGTTATTTTTTATAACATTTTTATTTTTGATGTGTTTGTTGTTTTTGACGGCTCCTATAGATAACAGCATCTTATCTTCAACATTGTAGTAGTGAAAAAAAGCACATTAGAGGTCAGGAAAACATGCACTACCACAAATTCTCATCATTTAGCAAGAAACGTATCCCTGAATCAAGAGATACATATTGTCAGTCAGACGTCAGCTGTCTTCAGTTACCCAGAAAAACTTGAAATGCACTATCCCAAATCGTCACTTAGAATTTACCTTATAGCATGTTGGGTAATTTTCAATTTCCTTATAAATACTTTTTTCCTTTTGGAGAGACAATGCAGCCTCATCTAATCTAAAAAACCAAAAAACAGTTAGGAGTATCAGTGTCAGGAATACAGCATAACGGACCTGAGGCTAATTAGAAAGTGTTTAACTAACACACTGGCAAGCCTACCGGAATAAAAAGCAACACAACTAAAAATCAGCAGTAGATCTTCCTAACAGAGTAGATAAAGAAATATATAGTCAGCAATTCCTTTTGTATACATGCAGGCCAAGAACATCTCTGGTATTCACTCAGAGACGCCTCATTTTTCATAACATTGTACAAGATGAATGCCTTGTTATGTACCCTAACAGATTTCTCTATGTCATGAGGACACTATAAGCTATCAGTAAGTCTGATATCCATGAACTATCAATATTAAGTCACAGCAACTGGTTTTGAGTTTGAATACTCTTTTACTCATCATATTAAACTTCTAGAAATTAGCAATAGCATGTGAGCTATAAAGCAGCAGAGCAACAAAGTCTTTCAGATGTTCTGAAGCTATGTTGACTTGCTTTCACAGAAAGACTTTCAAGTTACTTTGTAAATTTCCTTTCCTGACTAAATTCTGCAATGAAATAAAGTGTCTTAAAAGTAGCATTAGAAACCCAGACAATTTCTTAAAGGAACTACATGTTTCAGTGAAGCAAGTCTAAGCTGAACTGCAGGTCAAGTTTGATGCTAGCAATTAACAATTAAAATAAATTCCCATTGAGACTCCAAGATACACTCTTCTTTAAGAAGTCCAGAATCAGACTGCTGCAAACAGATTTCTTTCCTCAGGTTAGTCACCTAATTCCCCTATTTTATATTCCACAGCTATAAAAGACTTTCCAGTACTTTCTACATATTAGTGCTGGAAGAAAAAAAAAGATTTCCTGAAGTAGTTTAAGAATTAATGAAGACTGGTAGATGTGCTTTCTAGCTATTCAACAAACGCAAAGGAAACAAAGCCTTACAGCCCACATTCTCCCTTCCCAGAACACAGAACAGGTGATTCCTGGATGAACATGGCATATCCCACAGAACCTGAATTTTAGTTTGAAGTGCATCTCAAAGAAGGATTAAGTAACAGTATATAAACCCAACAACAGCAAGAAAAAAAAACAATGAAAATCACTATTAAAGATTCAATTACATTAAAAAAAAAAAAAAGCATAAAGCTATACCTGCGTCCTCTGACTAGAAGTCTTGATGCCTTCCCTAGCATTTCTAAAGCTTGCCGTAAACGTTCTTCATTCTAGAGAAGAACAAAAAGAATTCATGCATTCGTATTTCATTTGTATAGAATTAAGACCACTAGACCTTAATTTAAGTATGTCATCTGTAACTTAGAACAACTGTTAATTATTATATCAGCAGTTCACACACTCAAGGGAAACAGGAAGAATACTGGTGCATTCAAGTCCCACAGCCAGCCCCCATATGGATCTACAGAGCAAAGTAACATCAATGCAAACTTGCTCATCTGGAAACACGTGACAAGTGACAATAGAGAAGTACACCAAAGGCAGTAGCAAAAAGGCAAATCATCTGCTCATGGGATGAGTAGAGCATCAAGCAAACTCTTCTCTTCTGTGCCTTCAAGGATTTCAAACTATTTTAGACTCCAGGACTCAACAGCAGCCATGTTCCCTACCCTCTGGGCTGCCTAACAAGTGGCAGAAAACGTGACAACATACAATATTCAGATTCAGTCAAGTCCCAAACTGAGAAAAAGGCAAAGCAAACTGAGTCCTTTTATAATCTCGTTCTCTACGGCAGGAGAAGCCTTCAGCTTCATTCCTCAGCCAATGATGTGAAAGGAAGGACAAATAATTTAGAACCTAATCTTAGGCTTTTTCCTTAACTTTATAGCTGACCCTGAACACCAAGTCATGCATCTCTGAATACTTTCTGGGACTGGAAAGCTCTTCGCTGGGGGGAAAGTGTGAGGGGGTGAAACCAAGCCAAAAAATCCCACTTACTTCAAACACGGATGCTGCTTGCTGATAGAGCTGCACAGCCTTCTCTGGGCTCACATTTTCTATTAACCTGTAAAAAACATAAATCATTTCTCTTGACATGAAAATATTTTTTACCTAAAACCATCAAAGAAACAAGAAAGAAAACTAAAGACATACCCATGCCCTGCATGCATTCTAGCCACCAATACCACAGACTTACTTTCCAGCCCGTTCCAGTGCAATAGCTGCTGTATCTGGTGTCCCGTTCTCCAGGTACATCATACTGGCTTTCTCGATCAGCTGAACTGCTTCAGGGAGTCTCTGCATCTCCTGCAAAGTGACAGTCAGAGGGATGCTGCTGTCAGGAATTGTGCTTATGTACAATGAAACAAATCAAAGCAAAACGTAATACCTCACTTATTAAGATTCTAATTTTCATTTACAAACTTGTAAAGCTAGTGAATGTTGACCACCAACTCCGTAAAATTTGCTTGTAAATACCAAACTTTCACCTAAGGCATGAATCTGCGGTAGTTTAAAGCAGAAGTAGCACCACTCTTCTGTTACCCCCTGACATGAGGCCCTCACCTTTCCTTCTACAAAAGGAAAACATTTTTTTTTCCCCAATTACAAATGTCGCTTCCCTAACGTACTGAGGGCATTGGTGGGGACTAGGAGTCAACAGAAAAATATCACTTTAATATGTAATTCGCTTACATATATTTGTAAAACAGTCCAGTGCATAATATTCTTCACTATAAAACAGAACTTTTTAATAAAAACTAGTACATGAGAATACCTTTAGCATCATGCCAGCTTGTTCATAAGCTCTGCAGAGAAAAAATGTACAATTTAGTTAGATATGGTGTATTTCAGCAAGTTGTAGTTATGCAGCAAAAGCTAACATGCATCAGCTATCACTTCACTGTTAATACTTAATGCTTTTAAGATGTTTCAAATGTTTTATTTAATGAGACAGTGCATGTGTAACATTATCTTCCACAAATGAAGTACTTCAACCACACTCCCCACTACAAATCTATTCTCATGATCTAACCCACAGGTAATGTTTGGATAATCTGTCATTGTCTGCTTGCTTTGAAGTACTGTTTAATTAAAAATTTCTTTATAAACTCAACAGTGCAGAATTTCAAATTACAAAAAGTTTCTCTAAGAAAAAATATTTTATATGAAAAGGTGCTGAAGAATATCAAAATCATCATTTCTTCGGACAGCCATTGCAGGTTTTCAGACCTTCCTAGCCCACACTTCCATTAAACTGATTCTGAAACAGCAAAATCACTTGAATCATACCATTTACTACAGCGAGATCAAAATGATAGCTCATGCTTGTACCGTATGTTAGAAAATTTGTTTGAAATTACTCAGTGCTTCTCTACTTACTTGGCAGCATGGAAGAGACTGGAAGTAACATTGTCAAAGTCAAGGAGAAAAGCCACAAAAATATAACACAGAAAAATTAATAGTGTACAAAATCTTATACAAGTACTAGATTCAAAGCAAGGAATCCCATAAAGGCAAATTGAACCTACTACACTTGTAGGCAAGGTGTCAAGAATAAATGCTTCTAAGGACAGAATAAATGCAACATACCAAAGTATAACTGCATGTAAAGTTGTAAAAAGCACGTTTATTCAAAATATGTTCCTGGCTACTAAATCCTACTACAAGCACTGTAATGACATCAGAGTTGCATTTAGTTTATACTCTCAATTTGTGGGTATTTAAAAAAAAATAAAAATATTCTGAAGCAGTACCTAGACATCTCAGGCACGGGTCAGCACCTTATCACTCCAGATGTTATTGGAAACAACACAGATTTTCTAACCAAAAGAGTTCTTTAGTTTTCCCACTCAAAGCACACAGGAATACACAATTTTGTGAGACTGACAAAATGCACATATATATTCAATACATCTTCTACCAAGCCCCATTGTCCCATTCTAAGTAGCAACTAGTCAGCTTCTTGGAAGAAAGAATAACAATCAATGAAAAGATACGCTTTATTGTTTTCATGTGCCTCGGCTTCCCGTAAACAGGCTTCCCTTGCCTGGTCAAACTGCTTGGCATTCTTAAAAGCAACAGCTGCAAGAAACCAAATAAAGTTCTTATTTACAGCTTGCCATTTTCCTTTTTTCACCACTTCTGCTCAAGAATTTAGCCACCTAAAGATGCAAACAGACTCTTTAAATGAATGGCTACAGTTTATCAGGCTCTTCCAAAAAACCCCATGACAGTCCTTCTTGCTTTATTAGTCACTTAGTTACCATTAAAACCACTTGTTGTCAACAATACTTCTATAACATCACTGTATCACACACTGTGCATAATGTGTTTAGCTGGATTTTGGAATTCACTCATTCTGTATTTTAATTACAGAACTGCAGG